GAGGCTGGATAGTGTATACTGAGGTACTAGCCACACACATTTAGGTGTCTAATCGAAGTGTAACAGTGATTTTTTTTAGGGAACATGTAGGAAATGTATTTCTACACTAGGCTAAGAATCCTTGCTATCTGAGGCAGGTCCTAAAAGGCATCAGAATTCACAACAGAGGGGAGGAGAAAGTTATAAACATCATCTGTGACCTTGTGACCAGTTGTAGAAACCAGCTAACGGTGGAGCAGAAGGGCCAGGAGGTATCGATAATGAGGAATGAGTTACAGAAATGTGACTGTAGGCAATTGTGGAGACTGCTGGATGGTCTTTAGAAGGCTACTGTCTTCAGATCTGATGCTGGAGCTCTGAAAGATGCACCTGTGTTTCCTTTTAGGCTCTTTGAGAATCTGAATACGCATACGTACCGTTTTTTCCTCTTTTAAAAGTAGTGTATTTTTACCTTTCTTTCCTCTGCATCTTCTCCCTTTTCCCCTCTTCTCATTCTGATCCCATCTTGATATTTTGCAACCAGAGGAGTGAATGGTAAGTTTGATTGCCACAGAAGCACTCTATTTGTAAAAGAAGGAGGGGAGGCGAAGACACAGGATGGTGGTAGATAGCAGAATATAGAAGCCTAATATCATTTTTTTTAGTAGGATGAGTTACATTACAAGCTAGGATTCAGTTCCAGGGTGTGTGAACTGCCCTATAAGAAGAAATGCTTTTCATCTTGACCCGGTTCATTAGGACACAGAGCCCCAGATAGGGTGTCAAGAAGACCAGGTCCCAGCCCTAGCTCTGTCACTATATTAATTCTTGACAAGTCTCTTCATTGATGGAGGGCATCTTGTTCAGTTCTCAAATAAGAGTTATGAGATATTAAGGTCATCTGAAACTTGATAGACCTGTAGTTCGAAGATAGCTATGACTCAAAACTATCAATGTACTGTTGGTATAGATGTGAGGACTATTACTGGCCTCCCCTGACAAAGAGTCTCTGCTTAGCCAAACTTTAATCAGGCTTCGAACCTTCTCCTAGGTCCATCTGTGTACTCCTAGGTCTAGTTTTAGCAAATAATCTCCCATTCTTCATACCTGATCACCCTTCATTTCTGATAAGGCTCCTCGTCCTCCACTATGTTGTAACCAAAACGCAGGTCGGTTGCTCACCACATGCAGAATCCAATGAACAAGAGTGAGGCTTGGTACAAAAATAGTGAATTTATTCTGCAGCGAGCTTGGGGAAGGTGCACAAAACTCCTTGACTTTAAATGTGCTGCTTCACCTCTGGAGACACTTTTACAAGGTAAGGGGGAAACTGAGCGAGGGCAGGAGTTCCTCCTGCAAGCTTGGTGTCTTATCCACCAGACAGTTGAGTCGATACCTTTCTGGGCAGAAATAAGTTGGAAAAGGAGTCAATCTGGCATGCTTTTGATATGCCCTTCTGGTGGACGAAAGTCTTGAGGCAATTCCCAGAGGATGGAAGTTCCAGGCCACCTGCTGGAGGTGACAGTTTCCTGGCGGGTATGCTTTGGCCTGCAAATCCGCTGTCAGCTCTGGAGAAGAGATCTATCTGGGAACACACAGTTAGAAGAACTTGCCCTGCAGGGAATGTCTGGTGAGGGGGAAGTGAAAGGTTATATTTGCATTCCTAAAGGGCTAGGTAGGAAACAGGGAAAGGAGAGAGAAGAGAAAATAATAAAAAATAATAATAACTCATTCTCTTTTTCCTAGGAAAAAAATGGGGGCACTCAGTTCAAATGTCCCTGGTGAGGTATGTTCACCCTGGCCTATCTTCAGCAAGAGACCTTGAGGTCAGTTTAGCCAGAATGCCCCTTACCCCGATGTTCCTTTTAGTAATTTTCCATCCACTGACCCCCACCCTGTTCCTTGGCTGTATATTTCCACTTGCCCATGCTATGTTCAGAGTTGAGCCCAGGCTTTCTCCCCAACAGCCAGACCCCTTTGCGGTGTTCTCCATACCTTTCACAGAGGTCTTTAATAAAGTCCTCCTTATCTTGCTTTAACACATATCACTGATTAATTTTTTTTCCCTTAACATCCCTTAGATTCTTCCTCCAAGAAACCTCTCTATTAACGCTGAATGAGTCCACGGTTTGTGGAAAATTTAGTTCTTAGACGTGCATAATGTTTAAAATGTGTAACATTTCATTGGTTTTTAAGAAGGGGTTTTAGACTTACAGTTGGCCACAATGCTTCGGATGTTCTGGGAGTTCACGTCAAGTTCAAGAATGAGGTTGCCACAGGAAGACCTGATTCAGGAAGATTAGAAACCAGCCCCATTTTCACTTTTTTTTTTTTTTCATTTTTGTACAAAATCCTTTCACTCCTTTCATTTGAGTAAAAAATAGGCATTGTAGAAAACAGGAAAATACAAAAAAATTAATAACATCCATAATTTCGCCATCTAGTGAACATTTCTGTGTTTATATTTTATGTATAATTCTTTTCAAAATAGAGATTTTCCTACATTTTTATTTAGCATTGCATTGCTAAATTATTAAATATTTTTCAAGAAGGGTTTGTAGTGACCATGTTATTATTCCATCAAAGTATATTTATTAGACCAAATGTACCTCCTATCCTGATTCTATACATGCAAAATGCACTAAAAAAATGATATGAACTGCCCGGCATCCCTCCCACAGCCAGGAAGAGGATAAAGGTAGATTCTGAGCTCAGATGTTCTGAGAATCCAGAACTGCCTTCCTCGTGAGTGTGTCTCTAACTTTATAATGGCTCTTATGAATGACTGATTTAAGTCACTCTTCCCTAATTTTATTCAGATGCTTTTATACACCCTACCCCCACTAAAATACAAGATTCTTGAGACCAGGGTCTTTTATTTCTCGGTGTTCTGTTCCCTCCTCTTCCCACCACATATCCCTGTCCAGCATCTAACAGAACACCTGAAGCTTTCACACTGGGTGACCTTAAGTCCTGTTTGGGAGGGTTTGAATTTCAAAAGCCCCATTAAAGCTCCCCATTTCCTTTGTAACAAACATTTTGCCCAAAGAGTACTCAGGCACTGAGGATAAAAAGCAAACACTTGCTTCTTTAGAAAGATGTTCCTCCATGTATACAGAGAATTGCAAGAAAAAGAGAAAGGGAGGGTAGGAAAGGAGCAAATCAAATCATCTTTTCTTCTGATTCCTGTCTGATTCCTGGCTCCAAGAGGACTGGTCAGGCTGCAGCAGCTCTTGGGGACATGTGGTCAGCTGAGCGAACAGTGGAGTATGTATGGGGGTGGGTGGGGAGGAGCGGCCCCACAGAATTTTGAGCCGGAAGAGGACAATGAAGGCCACTGGGAGGTGGTTGCTATCTCTCAATTTGATGTACTCTGATTTATGAAGTGATAGCCAGGAGCCCAAACTGTCAGTTGTTGGATGCTCATGGGAGACAGGTGGTGGGGGACTGCCCCCACTTCTGTCTCTGGGACCTTCCCACCCAGTACTGTGGGCCTCCTTGTCTCTGAGCAGTAGCCCAGCCCTGCTATATTATAAACTGAAATGTCTACCACCACCTTTCCTTGTCATTATCTTAAACAGTTCATAGAGATGAACGTCTACAATGTTAGTTAAGAATTTTGGTATTTTTGCTAAATATAAACAACTTTGGTTTATAATATTCACACAATCAACCTACGCTGATGACGAATACTTACAACGCACTCTTATATCAGAGGTGGAGTTGTTACATAGTAGTATAGGATAGAAAAATGAAGAGCCTTCAGTCCATTGAGAATTTCCCCCAAACTCTCTCTGGGACTCTGCCTAACACAGGCTCTCCATGGCGAAAGTCTCATTCCATTCAGACGTGACCTGGAACATATCATTTCCCTTTGTGCTGCTTTATCAGGCAGAGGCAGCCACAAAGAACTGGGCAAATATTAGTGCTAAACTGTGAAGTAACTAATTTTTCCCTTACCTTGGCTGCTAAGCAAATGAACAAACCTTATTCCTGTGTTTAAAAAATATATAAAAGTTTACCTTAAAATAAGCACCGACCCCCCACCCCCCGCCCAAAGGCACTCAACCAGTGCATGGAAAAGTGTGTGGAATGTGCTCACATCCTGCGTAAGTTAGAGGGAATTTTCTCTGAGTATTCTGTCCACAGGATGTAGCCTTGACTGGCCTTGGGTTGATTAACTAAAAGGCCAGATGGAGACACAGTCCTCAAATAGCACTGCATAACCTTCAACAATTCTTTAATGTTCTTGACTGTTAGGCATGGCAAAATAAGAACTTACCTAGCGATCAAAAACAGCTGAAGAGCAATTATAAAGGAGAAAAATCATCATACTGGAGGCATAGAGACAGCTCCTAGGCAAACTGCCTTCGAGAAACCCATCCTATTCTGGGTTTGAACAGCTCACCCAATACTTGCTTCTGCCATAGTATCTTAGTCATAAGATAGGACCCCTTTACTGGTCCTCAGTTTCCCTCCCTGTGAAGAAGATGGGTGTGCCCCATTTCTTCTTTTGTCCTATTTATTTTTGGAAGCTCTTGGGGAACATGTATTCAGAGATTTCTCAGTGGGCTTCCATATCTCCCATCAGGACAGGAGAATTCTTGATCCCAGTGGCTTTTATTTGCCAATGTGGGACTTTCAGAGACTTACAGAAGAGACAGGCAAACAACACAAATGGAGAGAAACCCAAATGGAAACATGCATTATATATGAAAACAAGTATTCAGACATGTGCACCTGGCCCTCTCCCACTCCCCATGCACGTACACAGATTCACACAACTCTACAAATACACACACAGGCAGTTGTGAACAGACAAAAATAAATGCAGGGCTATTTACACAGCCACACCTGAAATCAAACAGACCCACACCCACTCTTGAATATTCTCCATCACAATTTCCCACTATAAGGTTAGAGATCAAGCCAACCTTGACTTCTTTCCTACTCCCAGCCCTCTTCTTCACCAAGGTTATGAGTGCAGTCATGGGATCCAAGGATCCAAACACACATGTTTGTTGAGATGTTTATTAAAATTCCAGGTGTGGGGAACATGGAGAATAAGAGAGTCCCTCCCGTGGGGGGTTCAGGTCTAGCAGGGGAAGGAGATGCACACAAAGCTACAAAGTCACATGGGAAGTGCTCTAACTGAAGTGAGCACAGGAAGTTGGACCTATTTCTTTGATCCTGAGATCTGGACAGAAGGCAATCCTCCTCCTTCCTTCAGAGGATACAATGGAAACACAGAGGAATCTGCTCGGCACCAGTAAGCTGGAAGCCACGCTGCCTTCCACCCAGTTCTCTGTGGGGACGCTGTGCTGGTTTCAGTCCCTGGGTCCTGCCCTTAGTTCAGCCTGTCTTGCTTGCCCCTCAGGTGTGTCTGGTGGTAGAAGTTGAGGAAGAGAATGAGGAAGCTGAGGGCTTACAGGAGCACAGATGTGTTGAACCCATCAGGGAAGGGGCACTCGGTGAGGAGACTGTAGGAAGAGGGGGCAGCAGTGGCCACAAACTGACCCTGGGCAAAAGAAAGCATGAGAAGAAAGAGAGGGGAGAGCAGTCAGTTCTTTCCACCCCATGATCCCAAGAATCTTCTTGACCCTTCTCCTGGTCCTGGTTGCCCCAATTCCCCCATCCAGCCATGTCATGGTGGTCCTGATGATAAACTCAGTATATCCAGAGCCCCATATGGGACACTTTAGGCTGTCATCACCATCTGGGGGGCAGTGGTGTTCCCAAAACTGCAAGACATCAGGCACCTGGAGGGTGAAATCGGTGATCACAGACTCACAGGATATTAATGTTTAGAGGTCGGTCATCTGGCCGAGGCCCTCATTTTATAGATAATGACATTGAGACCTGAGCATGGAAGCCACTTGCTCAAAGTCCCACACTGTGCCAGTGAGTTAGGGTTGGTTCTAGGATCATGAAATGGCTACTGAGGTCCTTGCAAGTTGGGAAGCTAAGGAAGATCTAAGGATGAGAGAGCTTGTTTATGGGCAGATGCCAAGTCACTGGTATAGAGTGACAAGTCAAGAATAGAACCAAGGGTTCAGCCAAGGCCCCTGGAGCCGATGGGATCTCCTTACCAGCTGTAGGGTGGTAAGATATCGTTTCCACCAGAAGTAGGGCTATATAGGAGGCCACAACCTGGCCAGTCCATAATACAGATACATGAAGACATGGATCAAAGAATTAAGCATCCCTGTGAAGAAGGCTGCAGAGTGAGGTGTGGGAAGATAAAGGAAAATAAGTGGAGCTGGGCTTAGCTGTGGTGTGGGAGTTCTCTTTGATGTTTCAATCCTCCAAGCTGCAGAGAGCACCTCTGCAATCTCTACAGAAAATCCCTGGAGAGACTTTATCCTGCAGAGGTCCGGCATGAGCCGTCTGAAGTCGTGATGATGGAGGGCTGGAGTTATTGAGAAGCTAAATGAGAATATTTCTACTCCGTTTGTGTTCTCTGGGCTGATGGCTGCGATGAGCATCTCCCAGCAGCCACCTCCCCATCCCAGAGATGGGTAGCCCAGGAGCTCTAAGGAGCCACAGGGACAAATGGGAGCAGAGGCCTGGTCTCATGGCCTCAGGGAAGGGAAAAGTTAGAGACCAGTCATGATATTCCAGGGATGCAGGTCTCCTGAGCTGGGACTCAGCCCAGCAGACCTGCCTTACAAGGGCCTGGGGCAGGGCAGTCCACAGCACGCATTACTTACCTGGCTGCCTGCTACGTATTTGACTCCAGCCCACCCATCAGAGGGCATGGTGCCATGATGGTAGAGATGCAGGAAGGTGGGCTGCTCTGGCTTTGTTCATAAAATAAAGAACACCTGGAGAGGAGGAAGAGATGGCGTCATCTCTGGAGGTCTCCTTTCTCCAGACTTCTCCTGGGGCCTCAACTACCCCTTAGAGTGGGACAGGGTAATTCTACCTGTTTTACTGAAAGAACGACTAAAACTAAAGGGAAATAACAATAGTCAAACACCAATCTATGACCTACTGTGTGCTTTAATTGAGGCTTTTGAAATTCAAACCCTCACAGGATCTAAGGTCTCATAGTGTGAAAGCTTCAGGTGGTCTTCTAGATGCTGGGCAGGGATGTGCGGCGGGAAGAGGAGGGAAGAGAACACTATTCTACTTTATGTGTATAAAATAATCACTGAAATACCACATAATTTGTATGCAGTTTAGACTTCTACTACTTCCATTTTTCAGGATAACAAAAGACACATAAAGGCTAAGTAACCTGCCCAAAGGCACACAACTAATAGGTGGCCAAACTGGGATCAGAACAGTTTGGCTTCAGAGACTGGGTTCTTTCCAATGTCCGATCCTTGCCCCCCAGGGCACCGGGGTAAGAATTCAGGTGTTGAACCGTCAGCCCAAGATCCAGACACCCACACCACACATTCCCCACGTGATCTCTGCTCAGATCATTTTGGCAAGAGACTGAGAAGAAAGAGCCCCCTCTTTTCATCACCAAACCCACCAACATTATGCTCTTGCCCTACTCTGCTTAATCCCACAAGCCCCCTGGCCTCACCAGCAAGGTTTCTTCTCATTAACATGGAAGGATGGCTTTTGCTGTCTGATGACCCTGGCTATATCATGTCAGTTTTAAAGTTTGTTTAATTTTCCATTTTAATTTTACCTGGAACCTGGCTACTCATGGAGCAAATGCTTACTCCTACTTCTGCAGATAGAAAGCAGGGACCATGGGAGCCGGTGGAGGGGGACGCTACCTCAGTGGCTGAGCGTCCTCCCTCAGCCAGGTACCGGACCAAGGCTTTACTCTGAAATTAGTCTCTGGCATGGCTGCCTGGGCAAACCCAGAGAGCATTCTTGCTGGGAGAGTCAGACACCGCCCCAGATTTGGCTGACGGATATACAGGAGCCCATGTGTCCGGGATCTTACCTGTCAAGCAATTCAACGGCCTTTGGAAAGAGGCACCAGCAGCACACGCTCGCCATCTGCTGGGCAGGACGGGGAAGTTCCATCAGATTGCAGTCGGGCTGGTGCCACAGCTTGTCCCACCTGGGCTGAGTTCAGCCCCAAATCCTCACTGTTCTATGCACCGCTGATTCCACAGTGCCTACCTGTCTGCAGGAAGATGCCTGTGCGCACAGGCAAAAAGGGGAGAAGCTACTGGAGTGACCACAGAAGGACTTTCCAAATGTGCCCCTGCCCAGAACCTTGGAAGGAATCTAAGGAGCATGTGGGCATCTTGTTTGTTGAAAGAAGATTCTTCATCCGTGTGCCTGGGGTGGAGTACAGATTCTGCATTTCCAACCAGCTCCCAGATGATGCTGATGCTGCCGGCCCAAGGATCATACTTTGAGTCACAGGACTTGAGCCCATCACCAACATCCAGTGACTCAACATCCGTATCACCTGGTGACAAGCCTCAGCTACCTGGTGACAGGCTTCAGCTGGAGTCTTCTATTACAAGGAAGCCTTTTGCTCTGCTTCTAGTTGAAACAGAGAACAGCTAACAGTGATGAAATCACTACCACTTAGCTACCACTCAGTGTGTGCTGGCCCCTGTGCTAAACACTTCCATATATTATCTATCATATATTATCTGATTCCATCTTCTTTCAATCATTTCCCTTTATAAAATAGGTATTATTATCTCAATTTTATAGATAAGAAAATGGAGTCCCAGAAGAGTTAGGTGTGCCACCGAGTCACACAGCAAGTAACTGGCAGAGCTGAGATTCAAACTGAGGTCCGAGGTTATCTGACTCCAAAGCCTGCACATAACCAGCCAGTCCCCTGTCTCTCATCAAAAGGCTCAGGTGATACCTCCTTGACCTCCGATTGTTATGAAGTTGTCCCTCCTAACCCTCTCCAGGCTTGCTTCCTGCTCCCTGCCATCCCCTCACTCCATGCTCACTCCATCTGTAGTCCACTGGCTGGCAGAAGTAGCCACAGTTAGCCAGCAGCAGGGTGGCCATGACCTGAGAGGAAGAAGAAAGAGGAAAAGACCGAGTCACAAAGCCTGTTCCCACCGTGGTGAACCCCGACTGGCTCGGGCTCCCGAACACCACCCCCGCAATGCAACCTCTGCTGACGCTTGGTGAACAACTGCTAATAAACTCCATGGGGTGGTGAGATCAGAGGCGCAACTTGTATGCATCTTGCTGGTCTCTAATTTTTTAATGTGGGCAAATATAGGCTACAGTGCCACCCTGGGTGCCTACTATGCATGAAAGCCTGAGATAGGTTCTGAAGACACTAAGGCGGTCCACACGTCCGCCCTGCCCCAAGGAATTCGAAGCCTGGCTGAGGATGTGGAAAAAAATTCTAACCTTACAGGTTGGTGCTAGAGGAAGAGTAGGAAATAGCAGGTGTTCCAGGAGTGGGATCAAAGAACGAGGAGGCTTTGGGCAGACAGAGGAGAGGGAGTGGGAGTTTCATGCTGGGACAAGTGTATGTGGCACCTGGACCTGGGGGCCTAACTAGGAGATTAGTGGGACTGGTGTGGAGGCTCTGACCAAAGGAGAAGCAGGCCACAGAATTGGAGAGACCGAATTGTGAATAAAGGGTCTTGAAGGCTGTTGTAAGAAGCTTGAATTTTATCATGTACTGATTTATTTGACAATAACGTGTTGCATGGTACTAAGCACTTCTCCATGCTGGGCGCTGTTCTGAGCACTGGATGACGTTGATAAAACCGAACAGATAGAAATCCCTACCTTGGGGGACTTGGCATTCTGGCAAAAGGACCCACTGAGGCTTCTGAGCAGCAAGTTGACCGTGAGCGTGGCAGAGTTTTCAAGGCATTGGGGTGGCAGGAGAATGCCTAGTTGCCATAATTAAATGACAAATTCTCTAGGGCATGCCTCACGTCTCATGAGTTCTTGGTAGCCCTCACGTGCTACCAGATGTATGCTGGGTCTGTCTTTAAACAGATAAATAAGACAGGGGTCCTGCCTTTGAAGCACTTGCTGTTTGGGAGGGAAGAAAGGCACATATGAAAGTGGTGACACAGCTGGAGAAAGACCACAGTCGGTGAGGGGTCAGTATATCCTTAATAGGCTCCTAACGTGGGGGAGGCGTCTGCAGGGTTTGCCAATTCCTACGGTGTAAATACTCCCACCACGGTGGAGGGACTTCAAGTTACTTCACACAAAGTCACTGAACATGAAGTTGCGGGGAGACCCACACCTGGTGCTCACCCGTGGGTGGAGTGGCTCCAGCCCATCTCAGAGTCCAGGACTGTACCAAGAGCTGGGAATGGCCAAGCAAGGAAACAAATAACCTGGCCTTAGAGGAATCAGGGAAGGCTTCCTGCGAGGCGACAACTGACCTGAATCTAAAGGATGTGCAGGAATTTGTCAGGAGACTGGGGGACAAGAGCACTTCTGGCAGAAAATCAGTGATGTGCCCAGGCCTGAGGACTTGCTGAACATGGCTGTGTGGGCTGGCGAGCAGGCCTGTGCTGGATGAGGGTGGTGTGCAGGGCTGCTGAGAGCCTGTAGAGGGAGACGAGGTGGAGAGGAAGACAGGGCCAGAGAGAACTCCAGAGGCCTTCGTGTGCCCATGAAGGGGTTTAGCCTCAGCCTCTGCGGGATGGGAAGCATCAGAGGCTCCCAGCAGGCCATGACACCACCCTCCCTGTGCTTGTAGTAGCTGAGAAAGGAAGAGACGAAGAGGAGTTGGAAGAGGTGTGGCTGTCTGGACCTGCTTCTTCCGTCTCCTCCCCGCTAGCTCACCAACAGGTGGACGAGATGGAGGAGGAGGCTGCAAGCGGTGCAGTCAGGGTGCCAGGTTTGCACTCTGCCTCTGTGCCTTGCCACCTGCTAGGCTACTTAACCCCTCTGTGTCTGAAACAGTGCTATCATGAGGATTAGATGAGCCGATCCTCGTAAAGTGCCTGCACCAATGCCTCGCCTGTAATCAGCATGGGAACACATCTGTGATGATCATTACCACCTCTGAAAAGCTTTTCCTGACATCCTAACCCCTGGCCCAGACACTGGGTTGCTGCCCCACCCTCCCTGCCCCTGGTGCATGATGCATCCTCTCTGTTGCCCACTCAACACACACTGCATTGCGACCGCCTGTGCCCACACCTGTCTCCACTCTAGACTGTGAGCCTCTGGAGGGCAGGGAGGCCTTATCCAACAGGGATGCTGCAGGCCACAGCACAGCCTGGCATGAAGCATATATTGGATATACACCTGCTGAATGACTGTTTGCAAGGTCTCGAAGGAATACCAGATTTGGGGATCAGAAAACCAGGCAGAGATGAACAGAGCCCAGGTAGAAACAGGAGATGGGGGATCCACATGAGGTGGGAGGCATAAGGAATTCTACTCTAGCTTGCCACTGACCTGTACTCTCTCATGTAAGGAAATGAAGGGTGGAAGTTTGTAACAAGGATTGAGCAGCCAAAGAGGGCACAGACTCCCAGCTCCTCCATGTGACCCCATCAAGAAGGCTTTTCAATTTTCTACGTAGGAATATTATGGTTCTATTTATCCCTTGGTCACCCCTCCAAAAAAGATCCTAGAACTCTCCAGGAACCCCCGCCCACCAGCCTTACCTCCCAGAGGCACCCTAGGAGAACCACCAGGCCCAGGTTGTAGGCAGCGAGTGCCGTGCCAGCCCCAGAGGCTTCTGTTGGGACATGAAGCGAGGCCTGGTGCCACCAGGAGAAGACAGAAGACATGGAGGAGGGTGGCAGGGAGTGGCAATGCACCAGGAGCCAGGAATCCATCCTCAAGCCTAGATAAGCAGAGGAGAAGTGACCGCCGGGCCAGCCACACTGCCCATTCACCCCCAGTCCCTCCCCACAGGAACTCCCAAGGCCTTGTTCATCCAGCCCTTGTTCCCAGAAAGCCTGGTACAGAGGCTGGCTGAGGAAACAAATGGACACTCCCACTGGATGGCATTATCCTCCGCCTCTGCTTTCTAAGACCCAGGTGTATTTATTCCCGAGCTTTTCCAGGGCACTGGCCATTGTGAGCACCTGTATGTAGAAGCAGGATTTGGGTCTTGTCCAGACAACCACCTCTTCTACTTCCCCTTCCCCTCCTCAGCAACACGGTTGACTGAGAGTCCACAAACTAAAGTTCCTCAGTCTCTCCCATATGACCCCCAGCTATGGGGTTACCCCAGCACTCCTGCCTTTGGACACTGGACCACCACCTACCATGCACTTTGGGGAGCCTCCATTGGCCATAACTTTGTGCTAATCCTCATACCTTTTGCTGCTCTACTTGGGATTTTCAGCTTCTGGCGGTGGCTTCCAGATTGCAGAGTACAAGAGACATGGATGCGGCTACCATGCAGCAAAAGGGGGACAGAGGGACAGAGAGGCCCGAACGCTTCCCCTTTCCCTCCTCTCTCGCTGCACAGTGCCTGCCCCTCCTAAGCATCCCTGGCTCCTCCCACTTCTCACGGGGCTCAGCCTCACCCAGTCCTCCACAGCTTGACTTACACCTCCGGCTTCTCCCAGGCTCCTCTGGGCAGCGAAGAAAGTGGCTCTGGCTGCTCCCGTGTGGTCAGCTGGCAGTGGGTTTGAGCGAAGGGTCCTCTGGGCTCCAGGGTGCAGGGCGTGACCCATGGGTGACCCCATCCTCCCAGAAGCTCTCTACTCCTGTGCTGTGATCTGTTGTTGACCCCAACCCCAGCCTCTACACACGCACACACACACAGGCACTCACACATACACATGCACACACGCACACATGCATACACACACAATTATTGAGAACAGGGAGCTGAGGCCGCTGTCCAGGCGCTGGCTGGGCTCCCTGCCATTCTCATGGCCCAAGGGAGAAAGAGAACAAGAGGCAGTGGGGGTGGGAGGAGAGCACTCCGAGGGCAAAGACAATGGTAGCAGCTCTGGAGAGGGGGTGGGGGAGCACTCCCTATGGCCTGTGGCCCACACTCTTCCCTCACAGCAAGGACCACCCTATCAGAGACTTGGATGGGCATGTAGAGGACACGTGTCTCTCCTGCCTCCACCAGGATAGGCCACTCCTCGTGCCTCAGATTGCGATCTTCCTCTTCCATCCCTCTTTCCCACTGTTAAGGAGTAAGCGTTTATCTTTCTTAATCTGCTAAGTCTGCACCCCTCCTCTAGCTCCCCCTCAACAACAGGCCAAGGATTATGGGGGAATGAGAACCCCAGATCCAGGCAGCCCTCTTCCCTACACCTGCCTCTATCCACCTGTGTTGATAGGAGGCAGTTACAATGGCCATTCGTCCAAATAACCTCTCTTAGGCACATCCTCTCCCTCTTTATGAGATATAGGAAAACAACCAACTTTAGAAGCCAGATCCCTGAAGGAAGGGACCTGGCAGCCCACACTCTGGGTCTTACTCCACAGTGGAGTAAAAAGTCCTAGAACCAGCCTCCTCAGAATAGAGTACCTCAGTTTCTCCTTCTGACAAGATGGCACACTGTGGTCTTGTCTGTGTAAGCCCCAGATTGTCCATGCTCACAGACAACAGGGTTAAGAGATCTGAAGAACTAGAAGAGGTAAAGGTAGGTTAGAAGCATGGTGGGCCACACACACTGGTTACACGCATGTACATTTGCACATGCTACCAAAGACCCTCGCTCTGCCCTGCCCTTGATTTTATCGGGAAAGATTCCCAGCTGGTTTCAGTTAGAAGACAAGCTCTCCTACACTGTCGTATATAATTTTCCATAGAATCAAGTTGAAATGATTCCACTAGGGCTTCAAGGCTGCCCGTACTCTAGCCAGACCATCCCTCCCCTCCCGATATCCCCTCTGATTTTCTGTCAGAAGCAGAGATCAATGTGCTGCCTCTGCCACCTCCATGAACCCGGTCTCCCTGCCCTCTCTGACATGCCCACAACATAATGACGGCTGACATTTATTCCCAGACCATGTGCCAAACGCCATTCTAAACACCATACGCATGCTAACACATTTTCTCCTCACAATAATCCCATGAGGTAGGTTATTAGCACCTATTTCTGCAGATGGGAAAACAGGCACAGAGAAGTTAAGTATCTTATCCAGTATCACAGCAATAAGTAGCAGGGCCAGGATTCAAACCCAGATAGTTTGGTTTGGAGCCCAGACACTTAAAAGTGCATTGTACTGTCTCTTCAGTCTCTTAGTGTATCGTGGTTTGTTTTATTGGAAGGAAAAGAGCCAAAAGAGTGATCTCGATGAACAAGAAGAGGAAGCCCCAATTTATCCGATTCAAAATAACTTCCCTACTGGCTCCCACAAGAATCCTGTGCAAGTAGCAGTAAAAACCAACATTCTTTTCTGCCTCCTTTCATGCCTCTATTCCTTCCCTCCCTCCCTCCCTCCTTCCTTTCTGATGTCCATCCTGTCGCCTAGATGGGACAAGGGATTTTCAGACATTTGAGATTCCGAGCAAAGGTGCCTCATCAGGCCTCACCAGTCTCTGCGTGGGGAAAGAGAGGCTCTGAGAAAATGGTCAGCCCTTCCCCCTCTGAAACAATGACCCACCGCCCTGCTTTCTGTGTGCTTGTGCAAGATTTAATTGGACTAGAAGAGTACCACTGCTTTTTATAAGTCATTGAACATGACTGGTATAGATAGTGAAGATGAAGCTGGATAATTTGGGCTGTGACACTTTGGCGTGTACTGGCAGGAGTGCTGGCCTCCTCTGCCGTCTTCCGAGAGGGATGTAGCAGTCATAATGGGATCTTTCCTTTCTCCACTGGAGGGGCGTTATCCAGGGCACTGCCCTCTGCCCCCACAGGTCCCTTTATATCAGGACCCAGGACAATATATTTCTCACTGTCAAAATTAGGAAGGGCCATACTTCTCAGGGCCAAATTAGTAGGCTTTTGAGTCATAATACAGAGATTTTCAGGTGCTAATCTCATCTTTAATTTTATTATATTATTTACATATTATGTTCCTCTGACATAATTTAGTTTATCCTTCTGTTTCGTTATTATTGGAAGTAGCCTGGAAATTTTTACTGAGTGACATGCAGAGGTTGTCAACATAAATAAATATGTATGTATTAAAGCAGATTTCAAGCATCTATCTTTCACTGTAGTTTAAATGGCTTATGCAGAGTCACAACCAGTCAAAGGAGTGAAGCCAGGTCAAAGCACAGACCACCCACCCTGTTACACAGCCTCTAAAACCTACCTCTGTGCACAGTCAGTGCGCACTTGGTTCTGCTCATTTCTCAGGAGTCCCTTAACCACGTGTTACTCTAGTCTCTTTAAGCTGAAACACATTTCTCAGTCACAACTCTGGGCAGCAATTTCCCAAACTGAAGAACTTATTCCTGAATGTCATTGTCCAGAAGACAAGATGAAATGTGTATGTGCAAGTGTGTGTGTGCGTACACATTCCTGTGTGTAACACAATGTCCTTCAAATTGCTTTCTCTATTTATGTCTCTATTTACCTTGATCAGTTCTACTTGCCCCAGTCACGTCCATTTCTGTCTACTTTTCTTGCTCGTGTTCTCCCTTTCTTTGAGCATCACACACCGGGTCCTATTGTGGGGAGGGGGTAACGGGGAGGGACAGCATTAGGAGATACACCTAATGTAAATGATGAGTTAATGGGCGCAGCACACCAACATGGCACATGTGTACATATGTAACAAACCTGCACGTTGTGCACATGTACCCTTGAACTTAAAGTATAATAATAAAAAAAAAAAAAAAATTGGCCGGGCGCAGTGACTCAAGCCTGTAATCCCAGCACTTTGGGAGGCCGAGACCGGTGGATCACGGGGTCAGGAGATCGAGACCATCCTGGCTAACACGGTGAAACCCCATCTCTACTAAAAATACAAAAAAAAAAAAAAAAAAAAACTAGCCACGGGAGGTGGCGGGCACCTGTAGTCCCAGCTACTCATGAGGCTGAGGCAGGAGAATGGTGTGAACCCAGGAGGCAGAGCTTACAGTGAGCTGAGATCAGGCCACTGCACTCCAGCCCGACAACAGGCAGACTCTGTCTCAAAAATAAAATAAAATAGAATAAAATAAAATAAAATAAAATAAAATAAAATAAAATATAAAATAAAATAAAATAAAATAAAATAAAATAAAATAAAATAAAATAAAAATAAAAAAGAAAGAAAGCAAAGCGGCAGGAATGAGAACTAGGGGAAGATCGGGCCTAACAGGAAACGAAGGAGCAGTACTGTACAGCCGCTACTGGGGATTGAGGAGGGAGGGGAGTAAAAACCCAGTATTACCAGCAAAGGAAAGATGTTGTCTTTGGTAGAGGAGTTGAGGGAGCAGGGGAGCTGTGCAATGGTATGCGATGGGGAGAGATGTTTTATTAATCAGATACCCCAATATGCTTCAAGGTATCTCATCTGCCAGTCAGCCTAGCTGCTCCCTGAACCCAAGGAAACCTGACATGACGCATGTCCCCACAGTCCTTCAGGCCGTCCTTCCTCTGTGCTAGGGGGAGGCAGCCCCAGGCTTTGCAGGTCAAAATTGGCAAACAAAGAAACAAAGAGCTCAGTCCTGGCCTCATTTCTTATTTTGCCCCGAGATGCTCCCAGCTCTTGATGCATCGTGGGGACCATGCAGAGGACAGGCTGCACCCCTGTGGCCACTGGCAGCCTTCTCCTCTCCAATCAAGCTGATAAGAGAGCTAATTGTAAGAATGGCTCACAGGTGCCTTGGCCGGCACTCCTGCCAGCCTCATGGATGCAATAATGGGGCTTTGTGCAGCGTGGGCCATTACTAACAAGGATAACTAAATCATTCATTTCATTAACAACGGGCTTTGGCAGATAATTGTGCAAGAGGCAATTATCAGCAATGCATGTTCCAGGAAGGAGTGTGGTCGGCTGATTTTCCACAGAGCTGCCAGGAGAAATATGAGACAAGGTTGAAACCACCACTGGGCCCTCAACCCCAGGATAGCCACTCTTTAAAACCTGTGGCTTTATGGCTTTATGGTCAGAACTGGAGATAGAGAGAGAGAGAGACAGACAGAGAGAGAGAGAGAAAAACAGAGAGAGAGAGAGAGAGAGAGAGAGAGAGAGAACAAGTTTGCTTCTTGCACAAAGATTCCCTAGGTGACCTTGACTTTTCTCTCCTATTTAATAGAATGAGGCTCCAAATTCCACCATCCTCCATCTCTACCTCACCATAGATCTGGTCTTCATGGCCCCACCACAGCAATCTTCCTAAAACACTAATTTTTACCATGTTAGGAGATGGAAAAAAAAACTCATCGTCTATAGCTTTCAAGTTCAGCTCAGGCTAGTGCCAAGATCCTTCTAAAAGCATGGACAGATGAAGAGGTAAACAAAAGGTGCTATATGCATACAATGGACTATTAGTTGTAGAAAAGAATGAAGTACTGATATAGGCTACAACATGGAGGAACTGTAAGACATTAAATGAAAGAAGTCACACGCACAAGACAACATATTTCATGACTCCATTTCCATGAAATGTCCAGAATAGGAAAATCTATAGACACAGAAAGATGAGTGGTTGCCAGGGCCCAGAGGGCAGAAGGAAGGGAATTAGGAGTGATTGCCAATGGGTATGAGGTTTTCTTGAGGTGATAAAAATGTTCTGGAATGAGATAATGATGATAGTCATATAACTCTGTTAATATACTAAAACCACTGAATTGTACAATTTAAAAAGGTGAATTTTTACAGTACGTGAATAAAAAAAAATATTTTCTGAACTCACGGCAGAGGGTCAGGTGGTGCCTGCCAAATACGGGACTCGTGGGGACAGGGGCAGTTTTCACTGGCACTAGACCGTTGGCACGGTCCTGGGAACAGGGCTAAATAGCCTCCACTGAGGTTTGTGTCATGCTTCCTTCAAGGAGTTCTTTGGGCCCGTTCACAAAACCAGTGCAAGATGCAAGTTAGCATGAAAAAAAAGTGCCTGATCTTTCTAACATTCCTCCTATTGGTTCGATGATCTAATTAGCTCCAAATTCTGAAAGACTCTTCCCTCTATCCCGGTTCTAATTTGCAAAGGAAGGTTCCAAGGCATTCCAGAGTATTGCAGCGTGGAATAGCAGCTTTTCTCTAAGAGCAGGACCTCCAACATGCCCAATGAGCTATTTGTTCATTTATGGCCAATACTCACTCCCTCATTTCCAAATCCTGTCATCCTACCTGACTAATCACTTGTCTAGAATTAATATTTTTTCAAGCATGAATTCCTATGCTCAACTTTATAAATTGTACAGTATTGCATAAATGTTATTTGGTATTTCTGAAACTACTACTATTATTATTCTCAACGTATATTGGATGAAAAAAGAAAGACATATGCCATCAGGAACTGTTGCTTTGAGTTACAAGGAAGAGACCTTTACAAAGGAGTAAAATCTGGTTTAGTGACTCCTGTGAGTCATTGTAGATATATTTGCTATATCATTGGTCGTATTTCTCCTGAGTGCCTCTTTGATTCTGCTTCTCCATCTAGAAAGTAGGGGAAAACACCTACTGGTAGAATTCTTTTTTGTTTGTTTTTTGTTTTTTTGAGACAGGGTCTGCCCGTGTCACCCTGGCTGGAGGTGCAGTGGTGTGATCTCAGCTCACTGCAGCCTTGACCTCCCAGGCTCAGGTGACCCTCCCACCTCAGCCTCCTTAATAACTGAGGCTAATTTTTTTTTTTTTTTTTTGGAAACAGAGTTTTGCCCTGTTGCTCAGGCTGGTCTTGAACTCCTGCATTCAAGCAATGTGCTGGACTCTGTCTCCCAAAGTTCTGGGATCATAGGTGTGAGCAGCCACTGTGCCTGGCCAGTAGAATTCTTAAGTGATCTTATTTCCTTATTTCATTACTGCCTTTTCACAGTCAAAAAATAGTTCTGATTAGTTTTGTCTTCTCTTCCCTATTTATTTTATTTATTCTTGTTTCAGTTTCCTGTTTCCTGAACTGAATTGGGAAGGGAAGAAAAGTCATCAATAAAGCCAATTTCCTATTTCTGAATATTTCACGAGACCAGTCTGGGAAAGGAAGAAGTTCAATGTCTTGGGGCAAAGCTTAGGCTCGTCTGTGGAGTTGGGGATCCCTGCAGCATCACCTGATGGGAAGGAAACGGGGCCAGGGATAGGAAAGCAGGATGAGCCAGAGCAATGGGGCTCCTGGACTCTGGCACCAGCTTGACGTCTCCTTACACAACAAGGAAGATCATTTTTCTGGGTCTCAGTGTCTTTACCTGTGCAATGAAGTATCTAGCACAGGGTCCTGGTCTAGGTTCTCTAGGTTGCATGACCTCCAGGCTGTCACTGTGTCATTTCATCACAGTAACGTTGTTTACTCCACATCTACTACCCAAGAGGTGGGCTTTTCAGAGCCACTGTGAATGGTAAACAAAGCAGTTAGTTACCAATAAGTGCACTCTCTCCGGAGTTAGCACAGGGGCTCAACGCTGAGATATGTTGGGGGAGGTAAAATGATCTCATCTTCATTGAGCTCCTCTCTGAGTAGCTCCCAGCTCCCAGTTGCTCTGGCACATTCGCCATGACACATGTCTGTTGGGCACATCCAAGGAAGACAGGGTGGCTGGGACAGAATGCCAAAGCAGGTGGATGTGGCCTGGGGCTGCCAGGGCTTGGTCAGACTGCCTGGGGCGAAGCCAGAAAACCCAAGTCCACAGAGGTTAGGGGTTCGAGGTGGAATAATGTCACAGGATCCTTGCAAGCAGGGCCTGCGTCTTCATCTTCTTCTTGTGGCTAATGCCAGGGCTGGGCTGGGAAGAGGAGGTCTGTCCTTTGGCACTGCTGCTGAAGGCAGAGACCAGGGCATCCAATCAGAAAAGCTCTCTGGCACTACCTACTCACATTTGTGACCCACATCCTCTGCACACTCATTCTGCTCCTGCTCATAGAATCCAGAGAAATTCTCTCGAGGTCTGCTGAGGATGGTCCGAGAAGTGACATTGGTGGGACAGGGAGGGGAGGCTCTGCAGTGGGAGAATGGCCAGGTAACGTGGCAGAATGGAGAACAGCATTGTGGGGGGTGGGGGATGGGGGGCGCACACCATGAAGCAACAAACTTGGAGAATACAGAGTGATGTAGATGGTCCTAAAATCCACAGTTGGAAAGGAAAAGGTAAAAAAACAAAAAGTTAAATTGATAGGCTTATCAATTTAACTTTAGCATAACTTTAGCAATGGATTATGCCATATATGAAAATTAAATGTGCATGCATACAAAAGCATAACACACAGTTTGGAAGAATGCATACAATAAAAGAGATATATTAAGCACAGCAGAATGTTTACCTATGGGGCGAGGCATGGAAATGGGAATCAAAGAGAATACATACATGCATACATACATATATGCATGCGTACACACATACATACACATATGAAACAAGACAAGGTCAGTTTAGCAACTTGAGGAGTGTGATTAAACCCAAACCTCTGCACTGGAGATAAAAATAGAGAGAACACTAGACTTGATGGCTGAAAATTATTTTTTGGAGTATGTGTCTAGAGTCAAATGACCTGAAAATCGAATGTGCTCACCATCACAGAGTCCTAGTGCCAACGTGTCTCACCCCTATGATGCTGCCTTTCTCCACTGATTACTCATAGGAAAGGAGAGATA